GGAGCCCAATGCGGGGCTCGATCCCAGGACCCCGGGATCACGACCTGAGCCGAAGGCAGACGCTCAACGACTGAGCCACCCAGGCGCCCCCACACACACATGAAATGCCTGCTTTTAATTTTAAAAGGTATACATTGAAATAGTAGTACTTGTTATCAAGTTTTTTAAGTAAATTTTTATTGGAGAAGGATCACAAATATTACTCAAGTCACATTTCATATGTGCCTACTGGTACATTGAGTTGTATATCCATTTTAGGCTAACGTTGTTGCCTATAACTACATATCATTTTGTTTAAATGTATAATCTCTGAATGACCAGGAGCTTTCCCTTATGGCAATGATAACTAAAAGTCAACACAATTCAGAAATTCCATTTCATTCTGCATACCCTTCCTACCCCATCTGACCACAGGTAAATATTGATGTTTTATATCAGGAGACTTTTTTACCATAAAAATGCTATAAATATTTTTTCTTTTGGCAGTAGCCCCAACACGTTGGGCAGCATACTTCAGAAAGTAAGGGAAATAATGTATAAGTCAAGCCAAGGGGAAGAGGGACATAAAAGGGGCAGGGAGATTTATTACTCTTGGCTTCCTACATAGAAAAACAGAAAATAAAGTTACTCAATCTATTTAATATGTGGGGATAATCTCACCCATTGGACAGAATTAAAAACTCAGTCCATTCTGAGATAATCACATCACACCTGTCAGAATGGCTAAAACAAAAACACAAGAAACAACAGTGTTGGCAATAATGTGCAGAAAAAGGAACCCTCACGCACTGTTGGTGGGAATGCAAACTGCTGCAGGCACTGTGCAAAACACTATGGAGGTTCATCACAAATTAAAAGGAGAACTGTCCTAAGACCCAATAATCACACTACTGGGTATTTATCCAAAAAATACAAAAACGTTCCTCAAAGGGATACAGGCACCCCTATGTTTATTGCAGCATTATTTACATTAGCCAAATTATGGAAGCAGCTCAAGTGTCCATCATCAACTGATGAATGGATACAGAAGAGGTGGTATATATACACACACACACACACACACACACACACAAATGGAATACTACTCAGCCATAAAAAAAGAATACAATCTTGCCATTTGCAACAACTTGGATAGAGCTAGAGAGTATAACGCTAAGCAAAGTAAATCAGTCAGAGAAAGACAAATACCATATGATCTCAATCATGTGGAATTTAAGAAATGAAACAAAAGAGCAAAGGGGGGGGAGAGAAGGACAAACCAAGAAATAGATTCTTAACTATAGAGAACAAACTGATAGTTACGAGAGAGAAGGTGGTTAGGGGGATGAGAGAAACAGGGGATGATGATTAAAAAGTACACCTATCATGATAAAAAACAAAAACAAACACCTCAGTCAATTAAAAACACACACTTAGAGTAGTGGAAAAACGACAAAGAAGAATAACACCCTAATGTATACTTTAATGAGAGAAAAGGAGCATTATTAATTTACCACTGATAATAATGGCACCCAACTGTCAAATGTCATCAAAACACATTATAAGAAGACTTTTTAATTAGGGGAATTTATACATGGAGACGGAACTTGAGATGGAATTGGAAAGACTCTCCCAGGTAGAGAAGAGAGAAGGAATGGCAGGTGAACAACTTGTTTAAAAAAACAACAACAACAAAAACCACAAATAAATAAGGCGGCATTGAAAGGTAAATGTGAGTTGTTATTAGTGCTAATTAATGCAAACAGACGGTATTATTATGAAAAAAGACTACAAAGTTCTCACTTGAACCAGAGGCCCCGGGGAGCCAGTGACCCTATTCATAAGACCTGTAACAGAATGACCAGAATTTAGGAATTAGGGGCTGGAGACACTGGAATTAGGATGCTGCTTAGGAAACTAAGACCATCCCAAGTATGAGAGGAGAAGGAGAGCATGTGAGAAAGGAGAAAATGTCAGTTGCCTAGACTCTTTAAACATCAACCTGCTTCTTCAGTGACTGACTGGCAGGCATAATCAATGCCTCAACACAGTGCCATGAATTCAGGGTGCCTCCTCCAGCCGCAAAGAGTCAGGTGATTACTAAGCAGAAAGCAGAAAGTGGTCACTGCAGCCTGGTCCCAAAAGTTACTTTTGGCTCAGACCTATGACGTGCATAGGTACACTCCTGCGTTTAAGAAAACTTGAACATGTGCTTCACACTTTCCATGTTAAGACGACCGGTTGATTGGTTGATTGGGTTGTGCGGCTCAGAGAGAACTACTCACAAAGGCTCCTGTCTGATGTTTTGCCATTCTCAAGTATCAGTCTGTTGGGTCCTTCTAAACCCGGGCCTCTGCCACTACAAGTTGGCAGACCATCTTTGTGCAGCAAAAGAGCATCAGAAACCCAAGCACGAGCATTTCAAGAGACCCTCATAGGGAGACTAGGGATGTGGCTAATGGTGAAATACAGTGACTGGGAAGGAGCTTCCTGCTCCCTCATCTTCCTGGTGCAGAACATTAAGACGTCTCTAGTCTTCTTGACTCAGGATTTGACTGTAACAAAAATTTGGGGAGATGGAAAAAGACTGAAGTTCTGATGCCCTTGAAACAAAGGCCTGTCCTAGGGAAAGGAATTTGAATAGTAGACCACAGAGTAAAACTAGGTCAGTGATTAAATCATGTTTAAAACTGTGTCTGATGGGAAGGCACCTGGGTGGCTCAGTTGGTTAAGCGACTGCCTTCGGCTCAGGTCATGATCCTGGAGTCCCGGGATTGAGTCCCACATCGGGCTCCCTGCTCAGCGGGGGGTCTGCTTCCCCCTCTGCCCCCTTCCCTCTTCCCTCTCGTGCTCTCTCGCAGTCTCTCTCTCTCAAATAAATAAAATCTTAAAAAAAAAAAATTGTGTCTGATGGGGTGCCTGGGTGGCTCAGTCGTTAAGCGTCTGCCTTCGGCTCAGGTCATGATCCCAGGGTCCTGGGATCGAGTCCCACATCGGGCTCCCTGCTCGGCAAGAAGCCTGCTTCTCCCTCTCCCATTCCCCCTGCTTGTGTTCCTGCTCTCGCTATCTCTCTGTCAAATAAATAAATGAAAGCTTTAAAAAAATAAATAAATAAAATTGTGTCTGATGCATTCCAAAGGGCTTGTGAATTAGATAACTCACACAGGGCCTAAAACAGAATCACATGAACTCTACTACCTTCCTAGATGAGCCTAAAAATGAAACCAAGAACTCCACCCCTTTTGTAGTTCATATAATAGATGGGCGCAGTGTAAAGAAACAGACCCTAGGAAGAAAGAAACTTGCATTTGAGACCCAGGTCCACCATTTCCTGACAAGGCGATTCTGCTCATTTCATCTTTCTGAGCCACAATTTTCTTAAGCTGTGAAACAAGCATTTTAACTATGCCTAATACAAAGTCTTTCTAGGGAGCAGATCAGAGTGTTCTGTAAACTGTAAAGAACTACAGCGATATTCCGTAGTCATTTTGACCACTCACTGAATACCACATTGTGGCATAATTCCCTTATTCCTCATTGCTCTTCATCAGAAGACTAGCGCTCTCATTCTGGGTATAAAAGAGCTCACAGGTCTCTTGCTCCCTAACTTTCCCACTCCACACAAACTCTGGTCTTCAAAAAGATTCTTTTGAGTAAATATTTCACATTCCCTCATTTATCCAGATCTCATTCTCAAACAAGCCACTATCATAAAGGTTTTTTGGACTCTTAATGGAAAGACAAAATTATGGTTTGCAGCTGCAATTGGGGAAAACCGAACTACTACTTAGAAGAGCTAGAAAGATACTGGCAGGCTATATTACCCCACCCTGCTGTGCGAAAGTTTAGTCAATTTCAATCAGCTATTAACCAATAAGCATAGGAGAAGGAGGCTGTAAACAAATTAAGTGGAAAGGTATTTCAACTGTGAGGTATTTGTGTGCCCACTGGAGACATACTCACCAGTGTATGACTTCTTTCCTACTATAGATTCTTTGGATGGTCTGGGGAAACCCATAGACACCTTCTCAATAGTAAAGCATACAAGATAGGAAAGCGACATTAAAATTGGTATATTATTTAAGTATGTGCATATAATAATATGTTTCATTAGGAACACATATAACTAGAAGAAGCAGGTAGAATAATGAATGTCACTGTCAAGAGCTCAGAATAAGTGTAAACTTTATTTCAAGATATCTGCAGTACTTCCAAGTGATAAGAAAACAGGTGCTTGCCATTGCTGAAAAAGCCACAGGCACTTGCAAAATCCATTTTGATTAGCTGCCTGGACACAACTGAAGGAAATGCTAAATTGCATCTGCACTTCATGAAGATAAAGACACAATGTTTCCCCATCCAGGTTTACAGCCCCATAATGATCTGTAGGACTCAGATTTTTGCCAAGATTTCCCAGTAAAATTAAGTGGGCTTCCCTGAAATAAAAAATGAAAATAAAAACACCTCAGCCCTGGGAACAAAACAGCCAGATCAACCCATCTAGAACCCATTTATTTTGCCCTGGTCACCTCAACTCCCGGAACTTTCTAACAAACCGCACAGCCTTCCGAGAGATTTTTCTTTTATTGTTTCACCTTTCCTATTCCTTGAGTATTCGGCAGAAATATTCGACAGCCAAGCATGGCTCCCCGGAACCTCTCAACAATCTAGGGAAAGGAATCTGGCAAAGAGAGTAAATTATAAACCACCAGAGGTGACGTTTACATTTTTTACTACTCCTTAGCATCAGAGTGGTAAGTAATTATATGCAGCTTTAGCGAAGAAAAGCGTGAATAATCCCGCAAAGGAGGACTCCCATCTGATCAAGTAAAAAACAAACCAAAAAAACCCCAAGATTTTCTACTGTTTCACAATATATACAACTTTTAGTATCTCAATCTCTAATTGGTGAAGCATTTTCTTTCTCTAGGGCACACGTAAGCCAAGAGTACCTTCTGATTGGCTAACTCTCAACAGCCTCTGCAAACCAATGGGAAAGGAAATTTTACCAAACAGCCAGACACTATAATAACCCCTTCCTCAGATGAGCTTGAGAATCAGTTTCTTCTCGAATATGTCAGGTCGCGGCAAGCAAGGCGGCAAGGCCCGCGCCAAGGCCAAGACGCGCTCGTCGCGGGCCGGCCTGCAGTTCCCGGTGGGCCGCGTGCACCGCCTGCTCCGCAAGGGCAACTACGCCGAGCGGGTCGGCGCCGGCGCGCCCGTCTACCTGGCTGCCGTGCTGGAGTACCTGACGGCCGAGATCCTGGAGCTGGCGGGCAACGCGGCGCGCGACAACAAGAAGACGCGCATCATCCCGCGCCACCTGCAGCTGGCCATCCGCAACGACGAGGAGCTCAACAAGCTGCTGGGCCGCGTCACCATCGCGCAGGGCGGCGTCCTGCCCAACATCCAGGCCGTGCTGCTGCCCAAGAAGACCGAGAGCCACCACAAGGCCAAGGGCAAGTGAAGGCTCTACAACAGCGATTTCTATCCAAAATCCCAAGGCTCTTTTCAGAGCCGCCAATTCGTCCTACGAGAACTGTGACCCGACTGGCTAGGAGCATAAGCTATTTCCGGCTGCGGCAGGGTGCGCGCCAAAACAGGACCCTGTCGCCTTAAGTGAAAGCGAGCCAATCCGACGCGGGCGGCAAATTTTGAAAGCCCTCCGTACGAGCAAGCGAGCGGCATGCAGATTCTAACACATATAGGTAGAATAGAGTAACGGCTAAATAAAATACTTACTAGTTACTAAGCTCTTTTGCCTGATAGTAGTGGGTGGCTCTGAAAAGAGCCTTTGAAATTTCCAGAGCAGGACATCCCGCTACAATTTTTACTTCTTCTTAGGCGCCGCCTTCTTTGCCTTTGTCGCCTTGGGCTTGGCCGCCTTAGGCTTGGCTGCCTTGGGCTTCGGGGCTTTGGCCTTGGCTGGACTCCTGGCGGCCTTCTTGGGCTTGGCAGCCTTCGCCTTCTTCGGACTCTTGGCCACTTTCTTGGCGACAGCCGCCGCCGCGGGCTTCTTGGCCTTCTTGGGGGTCTTCTTGGCGCTCTTCTTGGGGGTGCTCGCCCCCGCGGCCTTCTTGGGTTTCTTGGCCGCCCCGGAGGCCCTCTTGGGCTTGGCCGCGCCCGCCTTCTTGGCTTTGGGCTTGGCTTCCCCGGAGGCCGCCTTCTTGTTGAGCTTGAAGGAGCCCGAGGCGCCGGTGCCCTTGGTCTGCACCAGGGTGCCCTTGCTCACCAGGCTCTTGAGGCCCAGCTTGATGCGGCTGTTGTTCTTCTCCACGTCGTAGCCGGCGGCCGCGAGCGCCTTCTTGAGCGCGGCCAGGGACACGCCGCTGCGCTCCTTGGAGGCGGCGACGGCCTTGGTGATGAGCTCGGACACCGGGGGCCCGGACGCCTTGCGCTTGGCAGCAGCAACGCCCGTCTTCTTCGCCTTCTTCTTCACCGGCGTCTTCTCCGCAGGTGCGGGAGCGGCAGGAGGAACCGGCGCAGTCTCCGACATCTTCCTGCTTCGCCAACAAAGACCAAAGGACGCTCAAACTGTCGGAACGGCGTGCCTCGCAGCCGCGCGGCTGGGGGTTTATATAGGGAGCGGCTGAGTGATGATTGGCTCCCCGCGCCGTGCGCCGCGCTGCTCGGAAGGGCTCCTCCGCTGCGCGGTGTGGATGTGTTTCTTGCCTCTCAAAAAAGAAGAAAAACGTAAGAAATCTGGGCATGAAATCATTAGAGATTCGGGGGAAACGGATCCAAGAGTCCTCAGGCTTCATTCCTGCCTTATTTGCTATACCTAGTTTCAAAGCCAGTACCCCGAAACTTGCCCCATTCCCCCAGCGCTCTTTAAAACTTGGCTCACATTGAGACAACTTTCAGATTTTCCTTAAAAATGCTCTTTCTCTCTCTTTCCTTTGCACGTCTGTCTCCCGGGGCATTGTTCTGCACCTTCTTTTCTTTGCAAGTTTATATAAATAAGCTCATTTTCACTCAAATATACAAGGAAAGACGCTTTTTTCGCGAGAGCAATAGCACAGCTCTCCCGCAGTTGTTTGCACGAAGCCCTGGGAATTGGCACTGGGATAGAACATTCTACGTACAAGATGGAAAACGACTTTTTTAATAGATTCATTTTTAAATATTTGAGTGACCAGTGTGTAAACTGTGTTTGATCCCCGTGTTTTGGATATTTAAACATATTAGGAAGGATGGGGGACGAGGATGGATGCTCCATTCCTTTTCCACATAAAAAGTTCTAAATAGCAACTTACCTAAAATAGTGGTAGAATAGATTTTTCAGACCTGGGATGGGCATTAGAGATCAACCACCAAATCTACAAGGAACAAAAGTGAATCGTGAAGCTCTACAGTGGTAGTTCTACCTCATTTTACCAGTTAGGAGCTGAAGAACACAAACTCATGTGTTTATATCCCATCTCCTTAAAACTGTAAATTTCTTAATGACACCCTGTCCATAAGATATGTTCCCTCCAATACTTAGCATAGAATTTTGTTTGTTCATATGTCCTGTATTTCAAAATGATATTTACGATTTTTTTTTTTTGAGACAGAGCACATGAGAAGGGGGAGGGTCAGAGGGAGAAGCAGACTCCCCGCCGAGCAGGGAGCCCCATGCGGGACTCGATCCCAGGACTCCAGGATCATGACCTGAGCCGAAGGCAGTCGCTTAACCAACTGAGCCACCCAGGTGCCCCTCAAAATGATATTTAAAGTACAAATTTTATTTGACTCTTTTCCAACATCGCCAGTAGGCACACAAGATTAGAAGGGAAAAGTTCTCATTTAAATCACTCTTTCTGAGTTTTCATAATGTTCCCTGGGCTTTTTACTGACAGAATATGAAGTGGGCTGTCACAACGTCAACTATTTGGCTAAGTATGTCCACCTAAGAAGTGGAACAAACATTTCACAGCCAACGTGACCCACTTTACTGCTTTACTGTTGGTTTGCAACACAACAGAGCTAATGAAATTAGGTAAATATTGGATAATTAAGCACAAATTTAATATCTACTAAATAGATACTGAAATTAAACTCCATGCTTGTTAAAACAAATAAACAAGAACAGTATTTTGGTGTTATGTCTCTTCTAACAAATACCCTTATTTCCAAAAATTTTGTTATTCGGGTTTACATTCAATGATGATTTATGAATTTTCTCAAATAAATCCAAGATAAGATCATCAGTTTTGAAGATGTCATCTCTCCACACTAACACTTAATTCCATAAAAGTCACTTGGCCTGTTTTTAAATAGCCATTTATTGACTGGCACTGACTGAAACCAAGCCTCTGGGGCTTGAGTCCATGTTAAAAACCAAACACAAATACTGTGTTTAGAGAGTACACTTATAGGATTGGATCTGCAGCGTGCAGTTCTCCCTAAGCAGGCATTTCATGTGTGTGTAGAAGGGGCTGTTTGTCATCCTTAGTAGCATCAATGTCAATAGCTATGGTCCCAGACATTACATAGGCCCTGTTCCTTCTCAGACCAAAGCCTATATTATCATCTAGACCTAAAGATAGAATTATAACTCAGATTTGTAAAAGTTTACCATTTTGGTCATCATTGTAGCCAAAACATCAGTTGTTGAAAACTCCTTGGAATTGTTCCCTAAGTTACATACACTCAATTTAAGATGGGGGACAGGATCCCACAGCAGATGTCACCATTCCATTCTTGTCCAACTCTTACTGGTTTCCAGGGCTATTTAGGTTCTAAATAAGTAAGAAGACTTTGGGGGCTATCTCCTTCACTGTGGGTGATCTCTGCCCTTCCTGAGGGGCAATAATTGAGACTTGATTCCACCTGAAAAGTTCTTCCCCAGATGTTTATAGAAGGTTGGGGCTTGGGTGCATATACTTACTGCTATGGCCTGAGACTGAGGTACTTATCCTCTCTGTACGTGTAGCGTAAACAGGGTTCTGGAAAGCTGGCTCATCCCAAGGGACTGGGAACTTGAAAGGTTCCACCTATTACTTGGGTAGCCCACGAAAATGTTGTGTTCCTTACTTTTGAGGCCTGAGTCTGTATACATTTTAAGACAATTGATTTTGCACTGGACTGAAATTTGCACCACTAATTTTATAGATATAAAAATAACTGAGAAAAAGCACAGTTGGATGAGTGATGGATAGCTCACGTAGGAATTCATGTTCTCCCAATTTTGATGTCAACCTCCTTTTCATCACAGTAAACCACTCTGAAAGATCTAGGTAGCACTCACCAGGTCAGTCCACAGTGGCTGTACTTATGTGTTCCAAAATTCAGTGAATTTCAGAGTTTAAGAAGAAAAGTGACTGTAAGTTAATAGCAAAAAAGAGTGAAGACAGCATAAGGGTTCTATGGCAGATAGAGCATTGTGTTAGAATCAAATGTGTTCAGAAGGGCCATGAGAAAGCACATCTATTTTAATTTCCTATCAGATGGTCTCATCTGAGAGCACTCTCCCACTTGAAACCCCTCTCCAAAGATCTCATTTTATTTCCTATGAGGGGCAATACCGACGCCAAACTTCCAATTTCCTTTTTGTATGTCCCTCTCTATCTGTGATATCTGTTATACCCAGAGGTTGACTAATCGCTCTCATATTTCAAAAATACTCCGATCCTCACTTCCTGCAGTAAGCCTGATTTTCAAATATGCACCACACTCCCTTCCCCGTCTGGACTAGAAGTTCCTCAGAAGAAATTCACTGTCACAGAACAGCCCAAAAGCACGTATGTGCAATGATGGACGTGTTCTTTATCTGCACTGTCAAGTAGACAGCCACTACTGACATGTGGCTATTTAGCAGTTAAATGTGGCTAGAGTGACGGAAGAAATTTTTAATTTGATTTCATTTTAATTACTGTACATTTAAATGAGCGCACGTGACCAGTGGTTAACTAGGGCAGCACGGCTTTAAAACAATTTCTTGGGATGCCTGGGTGGCTCAGTCCATTAAGCGTCTGCCTTCGGCTCAGGTCAGGATCCGGGACCCTGGGATCCAGCCACCCCCAGCCCCCACCCCACCTGCCAATGAGCTTCCTGCTCAGTGGGGAGCCTGCTTCTCCCTCTCCCTCTGCTCCTACGCTCACTCTCAAATAAATAATATCTTTAAAAAAACCTCTTCTCAAACTTGAATGAGCATACCACCCACTTGGAGATACTGTTAAAAATGCCATATCAATTCAGTAGACTTGGGGTCGGGCCTAAAATTCTGTGCGTCTAACAAGCTCCCAGGTGAGGCTAAGACTGTTGGAATACAGCTGCTGCACCCATTACTGCTAGATGGAAACTGGTATTCGGGGCCGATGTCTGACCCCTCACCCTGAGTTTACTTTTCTCTTCCTTCTTCTTACGCTTTGAGTTCCTTAAAAGAACCTATAGGATTGTCTTTGTAAACCTGGTATTTGTACATTGATCTTGGCATATACTAGACCCTGAGTTCTTGAATGAATGAACGAATCAGTGATTCTTCTTTGATGCGTGGAAGATCACTGGGTCTTAAGTCTGCAGGTAACTGTAACTGAGCTAAATTTCAATAATGTCTGCCTAAGGGAAATCTAAAATCCGCTGACTGCCTATACGGTAAGTACCAGCAGAGAAGGAATTTTTTAAATTACCTTTTATAGTACACAGAAGGGAGGCACTTATTGTGAATGTACAGAATGAGTAAATATTGCCATTTGTCTATTAAGCATATCTATGTATCATCTATGTATAGAATGTTAATTCTGCAACTCTTTTTACTTGGACAGTATTTCAGTTTATTAGCATTTATGTTTATTATTAGTTCTGTTGATTTGCAAACTTTTACACAGCATGATGTATCTTCAATATTTTACTGACATAGATTAGTGGTAGGTGACAAGATCAGAAGACCTCAGCTCTACCCCAACAATATCACTTATTAGAACAGGATTAGGTCTCCAAGCCTGGAATTCCTCATCTCTACAATACAAATAGTGCTTTATAAATTTGGGAGTAGAGTTTGCTCCCTTTCCTAGAGTTTCCTTTTTTTCAGTAATGCTGAAAACCACGTAAGTATATATGTCCTGCCGAAGGGGAATGTTCTGTGACCTGCCCTATTTAAATAAGTATTGTTAAAATTGTAAGCATTAATACTTGCATTTTTTAAAAGTCTTCACATTTAAAAATTACTTTTATTCTGTTACCCCTCGCTTTTATAGACAACCGTACCGTCGCTGCCTCCTTTTTATAAATGATAAAAGAGATGAGGAGACTTATACAATATCAATGATCTGGGAGACCCCACAGGCACAGGACTAGTCGCAGAAACCAGCGATTCCGGCCTCTACAAGGAAAGGGGAGGCAGATGCGGCCCCCACTCCCGCCGCCTCCCCTCGCTAAGCCGGGGCCCCGCCGAGGAAGGTGGGAAGGGGCGGAGCGGAGGTCTCGTTCCCGCCCCTAGCGTTTCAGTTTCCTAAACGGTCCGCAAGACGGGTATATAAAGGGCTGCAGGCCGAGCTCCGGGACTGGACTGTAACGATCGCCTGCTGTTCGCTATGTCCGGCCGCGGCAAGGGCGGGAAGGGCCTGGGCAAGGGCGGCGCCAAGCGCCACCGCAAGGTGCTGCGCGACAACATCCAGGGCATCACCAAGCCCGCCATCCGGCGGCTGGCCCGGCGCGGCGGCGTCAAGCGCATCTCCGGCCTCATCTACGAGGAGACCCGCGGGGTGCTCAAGGTGTTCCTGGAGAACGTGATCCGGGACGCCGTCACCTACACGGAGCACGCCAAGCGCAAGACGGTCACGGCCATGGACGTGGTCTACGCGCTCAAGCGCCAGGGCCGCACCCTCTACGGCTTCGGGGGCTGAGCGCAGCGGACCCCGCGTACTTCCAAACACAAAGGCCCTTCTCAGGGCCACCCACTCGGTCACAGGAAGAGCTGTTGCCGGAGGACGAAAGTAACATCCGCTACTTGGTCGCTGTTCCTTCCTTCGGACTCTGGCTGCACGGGCGCCCCGTTCCCCCGGCGGACCCCGGGGAGGGAAGGCGTGCAGCTTGCATTCGCCGGGCTTGCCTCCTTCCCGGCTCCTGTCCGCTCTGTCCTGGCCTTCCCACCTAGGACTTCATCCCTCCCTTCATTTCCCTGCCAAGCAGCCAGAAGAGGTGGCCTTCAGCCCATGCTCACCCAGCTATTGATGTTCCAAATGTGCTCTGCTTACCTGAAGACCGGAGTTTGCGTTACGGGATGCCAGAGAGAGCACGCCCTTGTTGACCATGGACAGTTTTCGTCTGTGTTGTCTTAAGCCCACAGATACTATCAATAGCTTTTTTTTTAACGAACTAGTGAGCTTTGTGGGCTGTCCTAATTTAACGGTAGTGCCGTAGGCCAGCTTAAGTCCTCTTCTGGCTCCTTCCTATCAATGTGTATATACCTGTCTCAACTTAAACCAGACCCGTATCAATTACTAGATCCTAACTATTATGTTAAATCTCCAAGTAATCCGGAGTACCCACGTCTCAGTCACTCTTCATGATTATCCGTCTTCTGCGCCACTCATTAAAATACTTTTGCCACGATTACCAGTGACCTAGTTGCCAAGTCCTAAAGAACACTAAGAACATCCATCTGCTGCAACTGACCTTGTTCATCCCTCCTCCCTTCGCAGTCTCTTCACAGGGTTTTTGGTATCTTTCGTCCTGACCCAGGTCCTGTATTCTCCATGATTCTTCTCCCTTTGCTTTTGGGGTCCTATTCCTCTGCTTGTAATTCTTCCCAATGAACAAACTTGCAGTCTCTTCACATCAGTCTGTAGATCTTCCTTGAGCCATCTCTTCCAGACTCTTGCATAGATGGTGAGACATCCAGGCACCCAAGAAAGAACTGAGGATCAGCTGAAAGGTAGCAGAAGAGGCCATCCCAAATTACAACACTTTGGCATAAGGATTATTTTGAGCTCAAGGCGCTTGAAAAGCAGATGTAAGAATGGGGCTCTGACCTTCCCATTTCTCCCTGAAGGCAGATAATGATCCCATGTGAAAGGAGTCATGCCTATATGAGGAGAAGAATGCATCACTAGAAACAGAGTCATGCTGAGAGAAATCTATACAAACAGACCTTGTTAAAATAACCCTGTATCTCCTTTCGTCCCCTCCTATTTTTGTTGCTATTTCAAGATTATTACTCTTTGTTCAACCTAGCATGTAAGCACTTAGGCCTAACCACTTTCAGGGGCTTCATGTTCCTGTGAAGACTCCCATGAACACATAAAAATATTAAATAACATGTGTATGCTTTTCTCTTGTTACTCTGTTTTATGTCAATTTAATTCTTGGGCTCAGCCAGAGACCCTGAAAGGGTATTGGGACATTCTGCCTCTTGTACACAGCCTTCCAGCCCAATCCTCAAAGCCCTTCTGTGACTGCAGGTTCCTGCCAGATCTTTGCCTGCATCATTCACCGCCCCACCCCCACCCCTGCACCAGAATCCCTCCACCTCGCTGCAGAGACCTGAGTGATGTGCACATTTCATTATCCCATCTAGGCCAAACTACAAAAAATAAAAAGGCTTCACTGGTTCTCCCAACATCTGCAGAATAAAATCCAATTCTTGAGCTTTATCTGGCACCTGCTCACCTGCAGAATCTCCTCTTCCAGCCCATCTCCCCATCCACCACTGACTTCTCTAGCTGAATATACTGAACAACTTGTCATACTTGGAGTTTTCTTTTCCTCAACAGTATCCTTTATATACACGTGTCTTCGTCCACAAAGAACCTTCAACTTTTGGGGAGGTTTTATAAAAATGCTCTCAGGTTCTCTGGCTGGACCCGCTAAATGAGACTTAAGACAGCCTAACCAGAGGAAAACAAACGGAAGCTTAGCATGTGCATCACATACACACGTAAGAGCCCTCGGCAATAAGGAACTCAAAGCAGAAGTTAGAGTTCGGGGTCTATGTACCTAATTTAGTAGGGGACAGGGAGGGAAGAAGGGCTCTTATGGAAAAGCAAATGACTTTCTGGAAAGATAAATGGGCCTAAAAGAATAGATGGCAGATATGATAGTTTATGACAAAATCTGTCTGGGTGTGGTACCAACTTCTCATTTACAACAAGAGACGAGTGTCGCTCCCAAGGAGGGGATGTATAACAACGGAGTTATTTTTGAGAGGACCTGCTTTTAGGCACAGAAAGATATCAGGAACTCAAATGCCTTCAGCCAGAATTAATTCTTATGCTTTGTATAAATGCTTATATAAAGTGGCATATTTTGGGGTGGCAGATCCTGATCCCCTTCACTCCTTTAAGAGTTTCCTTCAGGAAAACTTCACCTGATTCTCCCGGGCAAAATCAGTTCCCAGGACTTCCTGACATTCCAAAAGACATGCTCCACACATGAGCCTAACCCAGCATCAGAGTTCCCAATCCGACCTCAGAGCTACTACACACTTCAACAGCTCTCTAGATGCCTGGAAGGCTTGGACAGTATCTTCCTTTTGCTATTCTCAGGACCAAGGTAATTACCAGCACCTAGTATTCACTTAGTAAATATTTGTGCAATGACTAGATGATTCAATGGAATGAATAAACTATCAAAGGTCACAAGTAAACTTGTATACAAATTCCTCTCCTTTAATAATTTTATCTGCTCCCCTAGAACTTTTTCCTCTCTTACCACTTTCTTTGACACAAACGTCAGGCTTGTGGCTACAAAGCACCATCACAGACTTTCAGATACAGATTGTAAACTCTCAGTTTGGGATAAAAATAATTAATGAGTCCCAGTCTGCATGTATAAAATAAATACGCCTCCTGTTTCTTGTTCTCGCAGGTCTTTAAAGTCCACCTTTCAAAGAGGATAATTTTACCCAAAATTTCTCACAAAAATGCCACTGTCATAGGCTTATATGTAATCAAAGTGAGCCAGATTTCTATCACTATTTAATGGAATAGTCATATGTTGCTATAGAATTCCTAAGCTTTATTTTGCTGGTGTGAGATAAGAGAAAGAAAATAAAAGAGGGATTAGCAGGATTTTTTTTTTTTTGGTCCATATTTGATTTAAGTGTGATGCCAAAAAAAACTATTTCTTGGGGTGCCTGGGTGGCTCCGTTGGATGGGCATCCAATTCTTGATCTCGGCTTGGGTCTTGATCTCAGGGTCATGGGTTCAAGCCCCATGTTGGGCTCCATGCTGGGTGTGGAGCCTACTTGGGGAAAAAAAAAAAAAACTGTTTCTTTAGTTCTGTTACTAGGCTTGATCTTTTCTACAATGTAAACTTTCCTAAAAATGTACAATATTATGGGGACGCCTGGGTGGCTCAGTTGGTTAAGCGACTGCCTTCGGCTCAGGTCATGATCCTGGAGTCCCTGGATCGAGTCCCGCATCGGGCTCTCTGCTCAGCAGGGAGTCTGCTTCTCCCTCTGACCCTCCCCCCTCTCGTGCTCTATCTCATTCTCTCTCAAATAAATAAATAAAAAGAAAAAAAATCTTTAAAAAAAATGTACAGTATTATGTTTTTAACATATTCACTGATACAGTATGAAAAATAGTTATTGCAACAGATCTTTTAGGGAAATATTTAATCGTCCAAATTAATCCACATTTATTTACTCTGAGTGAAAATCGTATGTTTATTCAGAGTTATTGACTGCACTTCCGAAATTTGGATTTATCTATGTCTGTTGTGGGAAACAAAGGCAAAAGAACAGTTAAATTTCCTTACTACCTAGAGCCCACTGACAAGTCCTTGAAACAGGCAGAGTGACCTTCCTCTGGGAGCTCAGCGGCCTTGATGTTAATACTTTACTAAGGGCAAAAGGCAATCCTAGCCTGACCTCCAGGATCCTGTGAGTCTACTTTAACACATAAAAATTCCTTTGGAAACTTCCTTTGTCTCTACCCCGCCCCCCAAGATACACGTTGGCAATCATCCTCCAAGCAGATGACCCACTGATAAACATCTGAAGAGTCCCATGACTGAGTTTTTACGAAATAGTAATAAATGACCTTTTCCTAACAACAGGTAGGTCCTGGAAACTAGAGACTCATGCTGTCCCTAACCCCTCCCAACTTGAAAGTACGTAACAGGCCACTCCTCATGGCCCCAGCGCAGCTCTTCCTACCCACGGGTCCTGTCCATGTGCTTTAGGAAAACCACTTTTTTTGCACCAAAGACGTCTCAAGAATTCTTTCTTGGCCTCGGCTTCGAGCCCTAACATCTTTCCTACATCATATCCATTGATGTGGATTTTTAAAAATAGTATAGTATAATATATAGAAAATATCAAAGTACCATCTCATGTAATAAATAAAAATATCATGTCATAAAATTTTAGTTTCAAGTATGTATGTTTTTGTTTTGTTTTGTTTTTATTGTGGAACTTGGAGTTTGCAAACTACGGATCCACTTGTTTCTTTCATGCATTTGTGCGGTTCCCACGTTAGAAGCAGCTCCACATATCCAGGCTTCCCGGCTGCAACTGCCAGCCTCCCTGGCGGCTGAAATGGGGATGTGTGGCCAGGCTCCATGGATCAGCCTCACCTTCGAAAGACTTCTCTTCAAAGTTGCCGGACGGGACAGCAGACGCCAGAGCCTCACTTCGCTGGGAGAGGGGCGGACAGAAGCATCCAGGCTTTGGTGGTGGCAGCAGCCACGGGGTCCAGGGGGTCAGGCGCCCGTGGCCACGGCGTCCAGGGGGTCAGGTGCCCGCGGCCACGGCGTCCAGGGGGTCAGGTGCCCGGGGAGCCCTAGCACCTGTGGCCGCCGTGCCCGGCCGGCTCAGCTTTTGTCCCTGGGAGCGGCTTCAGACCTGGTTCCACAGCCCCTCCCCAGGATGCGGCCGTCTGTCTACCCCTTAAAACATCACCTCTCGTGTTTGATCAGCCAGAGTTAGCCTTTCTTTTTGCAACTAAG